AAGAAATTTTTTTAATGATTGTGAAATAATCACGCAGAAATTAACAATATGTTAATGTGGTAAGGAAAAAAGAGGGAAAAGATGTGGTTGAAGGTTTGAATTTTGTTTTAAGGAAGGTAAAAGAAAGTATTATTATTATTATTATTAAATTTTTTATTTTTCGAAGAAAAATTCCATCCCTTTTTTATAAAAAAAATTTATTAAAATCAAACAATTCAATTTTGACGATCATATTTGTTATCTTGAATACCGTATATGTTAAATAAGCATCCATTGATGTATAATAATAACAATAAATCCGCAAAATATTCCCCATTTGACTATTCGGCCATTTTTCTTGTATCAAAAAGAAAATTCCATTTTCCAAATCATGCGCCGATCTTTCCGTTAAATTCATTGCTGTCAATTATTGCACAGAGGAAATTTACGTATAGCCTTGGGGTTTTCATGTGTATGAAGCGTATCAGCTTTTTATTGAGATTATAAAGAACCAGGGCTTGTACTATTTGTAGATATATGATGCTTATTAATTATCTTGATAATTTTTTTTTTTTTTAGTTTACAAGAGATTCTTCGTTCGTTCAACTTGTACGTAAACAACTATTGCTATTTATTGTTTTAAAAAATTATCTCACAATTCAAATTCGAAAATTAAGAACATTCTTTGCTTAAAATTTTTAACTTCAAAAAGAAATTATTAAAGAGAGAAGATAGAATGCTAAAACCAAAAAAAATGAATATATGACTTATATATTTGCAAGACATCGCTCATTTTCTATTGTCTAAATATTAGTCTTGTATTTATCATAAAAGAGGTTTCCATAAAATATTATTTATTATCAGAGAATGATTGATATGACGACTATGAACTTTGATTATCATGAGTTGATTTAAATATCATTTGGTTGGTTTTTCATAAGCTTTTGATTAGTATGTTCATTTGCTCTTTCCTTCAATGTATTTTTGATCTCATTTCAACATTGTCATTTGATATTTTCAAATAACAATTTTCTTTATCTTGATTAGCAATACCTAATTTTTGACATCAGGAAAATAAACCTTACGTTAACCTACATAAGGTTCATAATTGGCCAGCATTGTGTCAAGATTTTGGTAATTCTGTTAACAATTCCATATAATGCTGGCCAATTATGAACCTTACGTAGGTTTACGTAAGGTTTATTTTCCTGATGGATTTGTTTCTTTCGAATTGAATATGAATTGAATACGAATCGTGCTTTGATTCGATTCTAACCTGTAAATGATTTGATTTGGTTCGAATTTAATTCAAATACAGCAGAACCTGTCTATAAGAATACTGTTGGGCCAAGAAAATCCTATGCTATTAAGCAGGTTTTGCATTTATATGTTTATGATGCCATAAAATTCATGATTTTTTTTCTTTAATAAAAATCAGTTAACACATTTATAAAAAAGATCTATTCTTTTACATTTTAAGTAAGCAATTGTTAAATATTTTAAATATTTAGTTATTTCCAAAAAGGCCTAGTCAATTTTTACAGTTTTTTAAAAAATAGTGTGACACAGGAATTTTGTTGATACACGTGATTATGCTTATGTTCATATATTAAGTTTAGAATTTTTTTTTATGCATATATACAATATGCAGTATGCTTATTGCACATATGGTCCAACTCGGGTCGAGAAAATTCTATGCTTTTAGACAGGTTCTGCTGTATATAATAAAATAATTGAATTCTGTAAATATCAAAAGTGATAATTCACTCGCAGCATAATAATAAAACATATTACTATGTGTAACATGTATGGATTTGTATTGATTCATTGTTTTTCTCGCAGTTGTCACAAAAGAACATCTGGTATAACATGACCAGGTCTCTAATTTAGATTTATTCGCATAATTTTAAAACATCTATAACAAATAGCATTGACCTATGAAAAGTGTCGTTATTGTTTCTGTAATAAAATGCATATAAGCAATTGCAATGATAAGTACTTTTAGTGCCACCCGTATTAAGTTCATTGAGAGGAATGCGTACACGAATAAGCCATGCACAGATATCCTCACCTGGCCAAACCATGCCGAGATCATCATTTTTTTTCCATTCAAGATTTGGACTCCAATGTAAGCGTCTTAAATCATGACCACATAAATCTTCATGTTTTTCTGGCTTTATTCCCGCAAAGGCATTATTCATACCTTTTTTATTCATTTGTGTATATAAAATTGAAATTATGAATTATTTATTGAATTATAAATGTTAAAAGACTTGCATTTGATTTAGTTTTTTATAATTAAAGAATATGCATTTCAATTTTTTGTGCAAAGATTCAGAAAATTTATTGTGCTTAATTTTCGAACGAGCCGAGCTTAAGCTAAACGTTTAGCTCGACTCGACTTAACTTGAGTTTGATGTTATGTAAAATATTTTTAGTCAATTCTACTTGGTGGTGTGCCACGCGTAGTATGCTATGCTCAAGAATTTTTGTGTATACATCATTCGAGTTGCATGCGTGTACAAATGTTTCACCATATTAAAATTTATTAATGCATAAATTTCAAAAGATTGCTAAATTTAGATAAATTGTTAAGGCGTGTGTTTGGTATATGTATTCTACTTTAATAAATAATTTCTCAGATTTATCCCGTTTTGAGTATGAAAAAGAATCCATGCTCACCATTAATGAAGCAGTTCCGGATTTGGCTCCCCATTCGCTTTGTTTTTTTCTTTGTTGTAATTTTGTTTATCACAAATAACAAAAAGTATTAAAACCTGGAGCTTTTTTCGTTCAAATTGGATATGTGGTTCAACAAAGAGTAAAATGTAATACATGTGGCATTGAGTGTAATAGTTCAGTAAAATTTATGTGAAGGACATTTTAAAGTATGCCTAAATGTAGATATTGCTAATTTACGAGAGCATTTTAGTCAAAGCTTGAACGACCAAGTAATACTAGCTCCCGATATTCAAAAGGATCAATAAATCAATTGACGACAAGACCAATTAGCAATATCTATAGTTTTTAAGACCGAGTAACTACTAAACAGAAAGGGCATCTATATGCTATTTCTCAAGCTATATTTTGTTGTGGACTTTCTCTTTCACTTTCTTGAACTTGAACCCTTTTTAAAAAGTTACATTCATCATTCGAATTACCTACAAGAAAAGGCTCTGTATTGACTGCATTGTATAAAACTAATCTTAAAGCAGGACAATGTACTAATATAGTTGATACTAATTTATTAAGTTAATAATTATTATTATGTGCACATTATGATATTATACACTATGCATACCGTGCATACTATGCGCAAAAAAAATCAGGGTTACAAAAAAAGCAAAAAACAAAAACATAATTTTAAGCTTAAAATGTTTGAAAAATCAAATGAGAAAACGGAATGCGTGCATTAATGAAAACCATTGGAAAAAAGTTTTTTGAAATTCTTGTGTAATAATAATAATAATAATAATAATAATATTTTTAATATATGCGGAGGAAAACTTTAAATATGTCCAATTTGATCATTGATATGCACGCTTAAAACATTCCGACTAAAATTAAAAGTAAACAACAACATTTATGCATAATAACAACATTATCATCTATTTTATAGAGAAATTAATAACGTGGTGGATTAATCACGCAATTAAATATAAAAATGTGTTTTAATTTTTGGCGGTGGTATTGTTTATCTTTATTGCTATTTTATTCTATCATTCTTATCCTATTCGTTCATTTACAACTGAAATAAAGTAAATGTTATTATGTAGTATTTAGTATCTCATATTCTCTATTATTTGACACGATAACTGGCTTTCTGCCAAACAGAACAATTAATAATATTAATAATATTAATAATATTACAAATATTGCATTGTAACCAGTTTTTTATTATTTATTCGGTTTCAGTAAACTGCTATTCCAAGTGAAAAAAGATGACAAAGTAATGCATTACCCAATCTTAGCGATCATCACATTAAGTTTTTTTTTAATTCCATAATTTATCTGATCGCGACAATTTTGTGTAGTGTAACGAGTGAGATACATTAATTTGTAATTATAATGGTAATTGATTTAACTTTTTGGGAGAGAATTTATTTTTTATTTTAAATGAAACCATCTAATTTAATCATTAAAAAGCAAAAAAGGTTACATTAAATATATTAATAAATACATGTTTAGATTTTGGCGATAATATTCGGATTAATACTTTAATATAATGCATACGTTATAAATATGTACAGGGGCTATATTCAGATAAAAAATAAAATACGTAATCGGCGCTGTCTATTATTTTATTCATTTACAACAGAGATAAAGTAACCCTATAAAAAAAAATAGTCTGTTATTTGAATTTTAATTCTATAACGGCAAAGTTTACACCTTTTTTCCATAAATATAATGCATTTATGGGAATATTATACAATCTTTTTTTATGGGGTAAATAATAATAATAAGGAAATAATAATAATAATAATAACAACAATAACAATAATAGCAAACCATTTCAGATTCTGAATTAATGATCATAATATTGATGACGATAAGGATAACAAATGATTGGAATGATAAAATGATAAATTATTTATGCCTTTTAATATTATCATTACTCGTTTGTTGTTTTGGCTGATATTCGTTCCTCTTTCACTATTTCCTAATTTTATTATTCTATTCGCTTTTATCAGTCCATAAATGATATCAATAATAACGTAACGATTAATTTCGCATATGAGGAAAAAAAAGCGATTTTTTACCACGATTTGATTTTAAATTTATTGTGAAATACTAATCAGTCATATATATCATATTAAAGAACCTCCATTTCTCTTTCTCTATGAATGAATAAATCAATGAGCGAGTGAATAAATCACACGGATATTAAATTTTATTTTATTGTTTAAAGTTACGGTTAAGAAATAAAATTGATGCCTAGTACTAGATATTGGCCGAAAAAAATCTTTTTTTGACAAAATTAATTAACCATTGATCAATTGAAAAAACTTCTATTTTTTAACATTGCCATCAAAAATATTAAAGATAATTTTTATTTATTTTATGATAAATTACATTAAAGCTTTGAAAACTCTATGTAAATTAGTTAACCTAATTTATATCGAGATGGCATTCGTAAAACTTGGTTTTAAAAAAGGTCATTATAACAAGATTGTCATTATATTTGAAATTAAACATTTTGCTATTTGCTATTGATATTTTTCAATTATTACATATTTTCATTTTCTTTTGTGACCAAATCCAATGAATTCCAATAAGTCTCATTTAGTTGTGCATCTGCTTGTTCAATTTGTAAGTATTGTTGAAATTCTTCTAGGGGGTCTTTACCATCATTTAAATTTGTAATAAATTGGGCGGGTTGAGATAAATCATCAGTCTTATTGACAATATTGTTATAATTAACGAGAAGGGGATTAAAATCAGACGAAGTAGAACACGAAGGAAAAGAAGCGGAGGGACTAAAAGAAGTGAATGATAATGAACTTGGATTATCACTTGTGAAAGAAGGAATAGAAGAGTACAGATAAGTTGGTGTTGAAACTACATAATTGATATTATTATCATTATCTTCTAGTTGTTCTGGTTGTTGATAAGGCGATTTTGTATTATAGTTTGAGTACAAATGGTGCAATAATGAAACTTCATAATAGGAACTATCTATTTGATTTTTTTGTTGCGGATAAGATGAGTTTGAATTATTGTTTGTGGAAGATAACGAACTTGTGTTGCTATTGGTTTTGTGACAATCTTCTTTTTGTTTTTGTTGCGGTTCTGGTCCTTGAGAAATAAATATATGTTTTTTTGGTTGCTGAATGATACTCTCATAAATCAACTTATGTTTTTCAAAAGCCAGCTTTGCTAGTATTTTAAAGTAACTTTTTACTTCGTCCAATTCATTCTTCCAGGCATCGCCAGCTTCCTTTGAAAGAGTTTTCCAATCTTTTTTACTTTTAAGAGATTTATATTTTGCAGCATAATTTTTGCGGTATAAGAGAAAAGCATTTTGGGATCTTGGAATATCTATAAAGTCAACATTATTGGGATTGGGTGAAATGAGTTGAATCATTTGCACGTGTAGTTGACAAGGAGGATTGAAGAGAAGGCTAGTCTGATTACTGTCAAGTCGTGCTTTATTAACATATAATAATATTTCAGGATTCATATTGTTGCGTTAAATATATTATTTTTTATTTATTTTTTTATTCGAATTTGCGATATTTACAAATTTATTAATTATTATTATTGAAAATATTTTTATTAATAAAATTTTTCGAATTTTTATCCCTTAAACGAACAGAAATTGCGTCCAAATCTGGACGCAATTTTCAAAAAATTGTAGACCCCCACTAGACAAAAAAAATCACTAACTAATACCAATTTTTTTTTGATTTTTCGATAGAAAAGGTTATGAAATTTATGTATAAACATTCGTTTTTAATAAAAAAAATTTTTTGTGGAAGTTTTATTGATACTAAAATAAACGCATTTTAAAAAAAAAACTAATTTTGGATTTTTTGAAAGTTGCGATTAGTAAAAAATTTTATCATTTGAAACCAGGCCTAAAACCGTAAGATATGTAATAATACATGTTCCATTTAACAACTTTATTTAGAAAAATGATGCTAATTTAGGCTACGATTTTTTTTTAATATAAAGAAAGAACTTACGTATAGATTTTCAAGTATCGTGTAACCAAAATAAATAATAAATAAAATAATAAAATTAAAAAAACAAGACTAGCAATCTGTCTCTGTGTGGTAATCTATATAGCAGTTTCTAGCTTGAGAACAACACAATGCAACATTACATGCTGTACAATAAATATAAGAACGATTTTGAGACTTATGAGATTTTCCTTCGTCCCTTTGGGTCACAAATTTGCACCATTCACACGCAATTCTATTTTCTCTATATTCTGGAAGATGATTATTTTCAAATAAATAATTTGAGTTGGATTTTATTTGTCTGAAGGTCCCGGTATTTATAAAAAATTTAGATCAAAGTTATTTACAATTTTCAGGAATTTAATTCCTTCAAGTAATACTCATAATTA